CAATCCAAGCAGTGCCAGCCCAGTCCAACCAGTGCCAACCCAGTCCAACCAGTGCCAGTCCAACCAGTGTCAGCGCAGTTCAATCAGTGCCAGCTCAGTCCAACCAGTGCCAGTCCAACCAGTTCAACCAGTGTCAGACTGACCAGTGCCAACTCAGCCCAAGCAGTGCCAGCCCAAGCAGTTCAGCCTGTGTCAGACTGACCAGTGCCAGCTCAGCCCAACCAGTGTCAACCCAGTCCAACCAGTGCCAGCACAACCAGTGCCAGCCCAACCAGTCCAAGCAGTGCCAGCCCAGTTCAACCAGTGCCAACCCAGTCCAAGCAGTGCCAGCCCAAACAGTCCAAGCAGTGCCAGTCCAAGCAGTGCCAGACTGACCAGTGCCAGCTCAGCCCAACCAGTGTCAACCCAGTCCAACCAGTGCCAGCCCAGTCCAATCAGTGCCAGCCCAGTCCAACCAGTCTAACCAGTGCCATCCCAGTGCCCTGGCAAGGCTGACGTTCCAGTCTGGCAGTTCCCAGTGCCAAGAGCTGAACTGGGAGCACTGGGAAGGGAAAACCACCTGGAGCCTAAGGAATTCCATCCCAAAGCTGCTCCGGAGTGGCCAAAAGAGTGAGGAAAACTGGGAATGTGGAGAAAAACCTGGAAAATTGCTTTTATCAGGAAATAAATTCCCAAATCCAAGTCCACGGGGGAAGAATTCCAACCAAACCCAATCCCAACATTCCCAATTCCAGGATCCAAACCCTATGGAAGAAGAGGAAGAGGAGGAGGCTCAGCAAATCCAGAATTCCCCCCCAAAAATAGGCTCAGTGCAGCAAATTCCATAGGAACAGGAATCCTGGGAAAGTTGAGATTGGCTTTTCTTGGAAGCACGAGGAGCGGGAAAGGCAAAAAGCTGGGAAGGAAAAGGATTTTTCCAGCTGCAGCTGTTTTTTCCTCTCCTTCCCTAAAGATTTTTTTGGCTGGGGTAGCACAACATTCCCAGCTCAGCATTCCATGGGATATCCCAGCCGGAATTAGATCTGGAAAGGGAAAAGGACAGGGTTAAATAATCCATCAATTCCCAATTATTTTATCCCAATTTTCTCCCCCAAACCCTCTTTTTAGCCCCAAATCTCCTTCCCAAACCTCCCCCAGGTGATGCCTTGGGATCATTCCCAATTCCAGAGCCTTTGGATTTGGAATTCCCAAGGGATTTGGGGCTCACCTTCTGCTCCAGCCTCTGGTATTCCCCAGATTTGGGACGACGAATCCCTCGGGATCTCTTCCCTTCCAAGGCAAACGCAATAATCTATGGAAAGAAACAAAAAATGGGATCAGGAGAAAAGGAAAAATCAGCTCCAGGTCCTTTTCCAGCTGGGAATTCCATGCTTTGCTCCTGGGGAAGTGATAGGGTGGGGATTTCCAACTCTGAGCCCATTCCTAGTTCCTAATCCCATTCCCAACTCCAACTCCAATCCCAACTCCAACCCAATCCCAACTCCAACCCCAATCCCAAGAAAATATGTGGAGCGAAATCAAGGGACTGGGAATGACTGAGGTCTCTGGAGGTCTAGGCCATTGTTTCTCCCATCCCAATCCCATTCTCAGCCCCAAATCCTGGGAATTCTGCCCTGACCTTTCTCTTATTGTGATAGGCCACGTAGAGAGCAGCGATGACAATGGCTGAGGTCACCAAATAGGCCAAGAAATGACTATTCTGGGATCTAGGCCTGGGTAAAGATTTGGGAATGGACAATTCTTTGTCTTCCTCCCCATCCTCATCCACAGAATCCAAGGAATTGGCACCAAGCTCTGAAGGCATCTGGGAATCTCCAATATCATCCTGGGCCATGCTGGGGTCTTGATGGTTCTCCTGGTCGACCTCATTGAGATTTTCCAGGTTCTCCTGTTCCTTCTTCTCCTGCTCCTTCTTGACCTTCTCTAGGTCCTCCTGCTCCAGGTTCTTCTGGTCCTGGTTCTCCTGGTTCTCCTCCATCATCTTCTTGTTCTCCTGCTCATGGTTCTTGTCCCCTTGGCCACTGTCCCCACCCATGGTCCCACTGCTCTCCTGATTGGCACCACTGGAGCCACCTTGGTTCCTACCAGTGCCACCCTGGTTGTCGCTCTGGTTGTCACTGGGGTTGGCCTGGCTGGCACTTTGGCTGTTGGTGCTAGAGCCACTTTGGTTGGTGTTGGTGTCATCCTGGTTGGTGTTGGTGTCACCTTGGTTGTTGTTGGAGCCATCTTGGTTGGTGTTGGAGCCACTCTGGCTATTGCCATCACCTTGGTTGTTGTTGGAGCCACCTTGGTTGGTGTTGGAGCCACTCTGGCTATTGGCATCACCTTGGTTGGTGTTGGAGCCACCTTGGTTGGTGTTGGAGCCATGTTGGTCGGTGTTGGAGTCCCCCT